GGTCCCGTCCTTGACCTGGGTCCCATCTCTGACCTCCACCCTGGTCCCATCCTTGACCTGGGTCCCATCCTTGACCTCCATCCTGGTCCCATCCTTGACCCCGTCCCTGTCCTTGACCCGGGTCCCATCCTTGACCCTTTCCATATCCTTGTCCTTGGCCCCATCCTCAACCTGGGTCATGTCCTTGACCGTGGCCCTGTCCTTGACTTCCGTCCTGATCCCATCCTTAACCCCGTCCTTGTCCTTGACCTGGATTCCATCCTTGACCCCAGTCCTGGTCCTGTCCTCAACCTCAGCCATGTCCTCGACCTGGGTCCCATCCTCGACCCCACTCCCGGTCCCATCTTTGACCTGGATTCCATCTTCAGCCTCAGCCATGTCCTCAGCCGGGGTCCCATCCTCGGCCTCGTCCCCGTCCTTGACCTGGGTTCTGTCCTTGACCTCCATCCTGGTCCCGTCTTTGACCCTGACCCTGTCCTTGACCTGGGTCCCATCCTTGACCCTGTCCTTGACCTGGGTCCCATCCTCAACCTCATCCCTGTCCCTGACCTGGGTCCCATCCTTGACCTCCATCCTGGCCCCATCCTCAACCTCATCTCTGTCCTTGACCTGGGTCCCATCCTTGACCTCCATTCTGGTCCCATCCTTGACCCCATCCCTGTCCTTGACCTGGGTCCCATCCTCAACCTCATCCCTGTCCTTGATCTGGGTCCCGTCCTTGACCCTGTCCTTGACCTGGGTCCATCCTTGACCTCCATCCTGGTCCCATCCTCAACCTGGGTCCCCTCCTTGACCCTGTCCCTGTCCTTGACCTGGTCCCATCCTTGACCTCCATTCTGGTCCCCTCCTTGACCCCATCCCTGTCCTTGACCTGGTCCCATCCTTGACCTCCATCCTGGTCCCATCCTCAACCTCATCCCTGTCCTTGACCTGGGTCCATCCTTGACCTGGGTCCCGTCCTTGACCTCCATCCTGGTCCTGTCTTTGACCTGGGTCCATCCTTGACCTCCATCCTGGTCCCGTCTTTGACCCCATCCCTGTCCTTGACCTGGGTCCCATCCTCAACCTCATCCCTGTCCCTGACCTGGGTCCATCCTTGACCTGGGTCCCGTCCTTGACCTCCATCCTGGTCCTGTCTTTGACCTGGGTCCATCCTTGACCTCCATCCTGGTCCCATCCTCAACCT